GCAGAGCAGGTGGAGCCGGCTGTGCTCAGCTGTGGGCGCTCTGCCTAGGGCGCTCTGGCAGATGGGGAAGAGCCTAGAAGTGGAAGTGGCCCTGCCCAGCCTCCTTGCCCACGAGGCTCCAGGGCATTCTGGGGGTAAGGGGTGTGGCTGCCCTGCTCAGGGGAGCTGCCAAGGGCAGGGTGGGGCAGCCGCAGAGCTCCAGCAGCTTGGACCAGGCCTCCCCGCCCTCTCTCTTGCCACCCCGCCTCCCAGGTTTCGGCGCCTACACAGACCACAGGAAGTGTGGACCTGCTCAGAGGGTGCAGGTAGCCGCTCCCACCTCATTCCATGCCTGGAAGAGAACCACATCCTTCTCGGCCCCTGTGAGGCACCCCCACTGTCACCGCAGCCATCCATTCTGCCAGGTGGCTCTGAATCAGGGAGGGCCTGCATTCCAGCTGTAAGGGAACATCTGGTGAGAAGGGACGCTCATAGCTCATTTCACAGAAACCACCCAGCTCTAAGCCCTGGGCAGGCTGGGGCAGTGGAGGAGTTGGAGGCTGGAGATAGGGGGACCACTCCCGGGGCAGTGGGAGCCTGCCAGCTGGGGCCAGCCTGCCCTGGGATTTGGCAGATTTGCTGAGCTGAGCAAGACTTAGGAAGGCGCTGGACTTGTGGATCAGCGCAATAGAATTATCTCAGAAGTCACACCACCAGGCAGCCACAGAGGACAGGAAAGAGATGGGACTCAGAAATCAAGTACTAAATCAAGAAATCAAGTTGCCTCTCGGATCCCCACCCAATGGGGATCGTAAAAAGGATAAGGTAAATGAATAGAAGTGCCTTATGAATGACAGGGCTCTGTTCCAAGGAAGAGGATTGGGACCACCCCTCCACCTTTTGTGATGTCCAGGCTATCTCTTCTCGGCATTTGAACTGATCTCATTCATTCAGGGTCTACCATATTCATACTTCATGGCATCCTGGGGATGGCACAGGCATATAAGAAATAGACGCTGCCCAGAGCAAGTGAGATCCAAGCAATGGATTCCCCATTTTCCAGATAGGCAAACTGAGGGCACTTTGCCTATGCCCCTGTGCCTCACATTCCTGGTAAAACCAATCCTAGAACATGGGGCCCCTATTTACCAGACAAGCCTGTACCTGGCTGAGGGCCAGGCTTGGCATCAAAACACCCTACTTCTAGTCCTACCTCTGACACTGATTGGCCGTGTGACCTTGAGCACAGGTTCCTCCCTTGTCTCATCTGTAAAGTGGGGATAAAGTTGATACTAGCATCACCTGCCCCATACAAGTGCATGAGACAGGAGATGTGAATGAACCTTAGCAAATAGGACTCACACATGCCAGAGTGGCCTGGGACGTGTAAGGGCTGTTCTCTGAGTCTTTGGTTGGGTGAGGTGCTTACTGGTAAGTATTTGGATCTGCAAAACCATGCGGAAGGCATATTGCTTCCCAGGATGGTCCTACCTCTCTCTGCCAAAACACCTATTATGAGGCTTCAGGGCATTCTGGGGCCAAGGGGTATGGCTGCCCTGCTCAGGGGAACTGGCAAGAGTCTATGTACGTCCTGGACTTCAGAAGTGCTAGCATTGGTTGATCACCTACTATGGATCAGGAGGCTTTAGCTCGTTGGACCCATACAGCAACTCTGTGAGGTCGACACTATTATCATCTCCATTGTGCAGAGGAGGAAACTGAGCTCAAGGATGGAAATACTACTCCCCAGAGGCCATCAGTGTGGGTGTCAGATGTGGACACAGGCTGCCTGAGAGCAAGGCCCTCACCCTCCACCCCTCAGCGTGGGCCGTGGGTTGTCAGATGACCATCAGCCAACCTCAGCACGTGCTGGCTGGGAGCAGCTTCTGGTGCAATCCCACTCAGGATCCAGGTGAGGCACACCCCCTCTACCCAATAGAATCTGCTCTATCCTTCACAACTCTGACAGGCCCGGCCCACAGGGGCCCAGTGCCTTTCCGTTCATACCTCCCATTTACACTCAGCACTGAGCCCCCCAAGCCCCTGGCATGTGTGAATCTCAACTCATCCTCACACCTGGCTCTGATCAAATCTCTGAAGAGACAAAATTTGGGGCATTGGAAAGAGTTCAAATGCCCCTGCCCTGTAGAGGGCAGTGTGGTAAAAGGAAATGGGTGTGAACTTTGGCACCAAATACAGCTGGGCTCAAAGCCTGGCTCAGACCCTGTGGCATTGGGCAAGCCACTTACCTTTCCACACCTTTTCTTTATCCCTGAGTTGGAGGTGATAATACAAATGTGTACCTTTCAGAATTGTGTTGGTTGAGGAAAGAGTAGAGGTGCGATGCCTGACATGGAGCAGGTGCTCAATAAATGATAGCTAGTATTGATTAGTCTTATAAATGCTGGCTGGCTAGCTTACTTCATCTGGTTATTAGAATTGGACACAAATAAGAAAACTCAAATCACACTCAAGAAATTGGTAGCGGAGGGCTTCTGGAGCCAGATTCTGATGGTGCATTTCTGTGGTGGGAGGTCCTCCGGCCCCTGCCAATCTCCCCACCCCCATCACTTCTCTGTTCTGCTCATAGAAGCACCCCCGTCTGTCTGTAAGTGGTAAACTAAGGGCAAGATCCCTTCTCTTAACAGGGAGAGAGGGAATGCAGGGAAGTCACCCGAGCCAACAAAGTTCTCATTTTACAGCTGAATAAGCCAAGGTCAGACATGGGAAGTGCTGCCTTTGCCAGACAGGGTTGCTTGGACATTCTGGGCTCTAGAACCTTCCACTGTGAGCAGAGGCCCTTGAGAGGCTGTGGCAGGCCTCCGGACCACCGGAATCACACCTGCAAAGGTTCCACCTGCCTTCATTCTTCCCCTAGAATCTCCTTCCTCCATTTCCAAGCATCTCTTCCCCTCTTTCCCTCCTCCTTCTTTGTTTCTGATCTGTCTTTATACCTTTTTCTATCCCCTTTGTATCAAAGACCGTCTTTTGCTCTAAGCCTCTCCTGGCTGTTGAGTCTTTGTTTTGTTTTGTTTTGTTTTGGTGTGTGTGGGGGATTCTCTTTCGTGAGCATGTTATTCTTGGAGACAGAACTGCCCTGGCTTAAGCAGTGGGAGGGGAAGGAAGGAGGACCTGGGTGGGAAAGAGGGAAGGAGGGGGTGGGATATGGCCACCCCTTTGGGACACTGCTGTCTGGGTCCTCCAGGGCATGGGAATCTTGGGGTCATCAGGGAAGCTCCCAAAGTGAAGGGCAGGGAAAACATCTTCCCAAAGAGACAATGAAACAGCAAGCGTCAGCCCTCACCTCCTGCCTGGAAAAACTGCCCAGCTACACAACTACATCACCTCCTCCAGGAATGGGACAAAGGCTGAAACCAGGTCACTGAGAGAAGCAGCTGCTGGGCAGAGCAGCCTGGAGTCCAAGGTCACCCCGGCCTGTTGCTCTTTCCTCATCCAGGGCCACTTTGCCCTTCTAACTTCTCATGGTCATGGCATGCTGGTCATTAGATTTTCCATGACCACCCAATGACAAGATGAGGCCACAGGAGCCCAGAGAGCTGAGCAGCCTCCCAAAGTCTCAGAGCCATGGGCCCTGATTCCCAGGCTCGAACCAACATAGCTACAAAAGCACAGAGATAGGACATTTAGGCAAAGGGACAGCAGTCTCCATCCCTCAGGGAGCTTGGCTGAGACCCCGACCACCAATACATGGTCCAACGGATTCAAGTCCTCCATGTAAGAAGGTGGAGGGGTGGGGGGAGCTTAAAGAATTGTGGGAATTTCCTCCTAAAATAACATTTAAGAACATTTTTATTTCTAAAAGAATAAGCCCTTAGCGAGCAAGAAAATGGCTCTAATTTCCTGAGATTTTACTGATTTGGGCTTTTCACTCACATGTACAAGGGGAATTTTATTCACAAACAGTCTTCAGAGGGGATGATCCCTCTGAGGGTCAGGACTCTGCTACCCATTTGGAAGCTTCATGAGGAAAGGGTGTAATTTCCTCAACATATATTTAGTTTTTAAAGAAACTGCTGAGTTGATCACAGAATGGCTGTACCACTCATACTCTTACCAGCAATGTATGAGTGATCCAGTTTCTCCACACTCTTACCAGCATTTGGTGTTAGCATTCCGTTATTTTAGCCATTCTGACAAGTGTGTAGTGATAGCTCACGCCTCTTCGGTGAGCCTTGCTATACCTTTCTCACAGTTGTGTCACAGTTCTGGAGGCTGGAAATCCAAGGGCAAGGTGTCAGCAGGGCTGGTTTCTTCTGAGGCCTCTTTCCTTGCAGATGGCTACCTTCTCATTTTGTGTCTTCACAGGGTCTCCCTCTGTGTCTGTGTCCTCATCTCCTTTTATGAGGACACCAGCTATAATAGATTAGGGCCAACTCAGGTGACCTCCTTTTAACCTTCATCACCTCTTTGAAGGTCCTACCTCAGGACACAGCCACATTCTGAGATATTGGAGGTTAAGACTTCAGCCTATGGATTTGGTGAGGGACACAACTAAGCCCATAACAGAAGCCAGTAGCCAAATGTTAGTCCATTACAGGAGTCAGAGCATTTTCCAGCAGTACTGAGTCATGAGAGAACATTCCCCCTTGGCCCTCAACCCGCAGATACTGTGTGAGGAAGTAGTAGACGTAGCTCACAGTAGCAGCTGAGTGTCAGGTGGCTGTCCGTCCTGGTGTCTCACCATTGCACATGAACAAAGTTGACTTCAGTGAAATCATGCCCATGAGAAGCTTACAAGCCTTTGCCAAACAGCATACTGTCCCATAGAGGTCAACTCCACGGGAAAAGACCCCATGGGACATGAAAAGCCCCCACCTACGAGTGGCTCTGCACTGGAGGTGGGATTTAGAAAAGCCAAGAGGGATGAGGGCTGGACTTAAGCAAAGGCAAGGTGGTTAGGGCCACCAGCCTCGCCTCCCTGGCCCAGCATCCCAGAGCTGGGTGTCCCCTCCTGGGACCGAGTCCTTTAACCCTGTCTCCCTCTCTGTGTCCGTCTGCAGGGCTCTGGCTGAGACCATGGCCAATGGCATTGACGAGCTCATCGGCATTCCCTTCCCCAACCACAGCAGCGAGGTTCTGTGTAGCCTGAACGAGCAGCGGCACGATGGCCTGCTCTGCGACGTTCTGCTGGTGGTGCAGGAGCAGGAGTACCGCACCCATCGCTCCGTCCTGGCAGCCTGCAGCAAGTACTTCAAAAAGCTCTTCACAGCTGGCACCTTAGCCAGCCAGCCCTATGTCTACGAGATCGACTTTGTCCAGCCAGAGGCTCTGGCCGCCATCCTCGAGTTCGCCTACACCTCCACGCTCACCATCACCGCCTCCAACGTCAAGCACATCCTCAACGCCGCCCGGATGCTGGAGATCCAGTGCATCGTGAACGTGTGCCTGGAGATCATGGAGCCAGGCGGGGACGGCGGGGAGGAGGACGACAAGGAGGATGACGACGACGACGAGGATGACGATGATGAGGAGGATGAGGAGGAGGAGGAGGAGGAAGAGGATGAGGAAGAGGATGATGATACGGAGGATTTCGCTGATCAAGAAAACTTGCCCGACCCCCAGGACATCAACTGCCACCAAAGCCCTTCCAAGGCGGACCATCTCACAGAGAAGGCCTATGCAGACACACCCAGGGACTTCCCGGACTCCTTCCAGGCCAGCAGCCCTGGCCATCTGGGCGTTATCCGGGACTTCTCCATTGAATCTCTGCTGAGGGAGAACCTGTACCCCAAAGCCAACATCCCCGACAGGAGACCCTCCTTATCTCCCTTTGCCCCAGACTTCTTCCCGCACCTCTGGCCAGGGGACTTTGGTGCCTTTGCCCAACTGCCCGAGCAGCCCATGGACAGTGGGCCCCTGGACCTGGTCATCAAGAACCGGAAGATCAAAGAAGAGGAGAAGGAGGAGCTGCCCCCACCCCCGCCCCCGCCCTTCCCGAATGACTTCTTCAAGGACATGTTCCCGGACCTTCCCGGGGGGCCGCTGGGCTCCATCAAGGCAGAAAATGACTATGGTGCCTATCTCAACTTCCTGAGTGCCACCCACCTCGGAGGGCTCTTCCCGCCCTGGCCCCTGGTGGAGGAGCGCAAGCTGAAGCCCAAGGCCTCTCAGCAGTGCCCCATCTGCCACAAAGTCATCATGGGGGCCGGGAAGCTGCCGCGGCACATGCGGACCCACACCGGGGAGAAGCCATACATGTGCAACATCTGCGAGGTCCGCTTCACCAGGTGCGCATGGCGTCCCCCGGGTGGGGGCCCAGCTGGGAGAGGGCCGGAGGCTGCGGTAATGACAGCAGAGAGGGGATGAATGGGTGTGTGCAGATGGGGCAGGGATGGAGCGAGACACCCAGTGCAGGGGAAGTCCAACTGGATCCTAGATGCACATCAAATTCATTGCTAGAAGGCGCGCTAGGCACTACTTAGTGCTGTGATTTTCAAGCTCTTTTTAAAAGGGAAACTGTTTTCTTTAAAAATAGATATTTCCTTAAATACAGTATTAGGTGGAAGGCAAACATATAAAACAGATCAGAGCAAAGCCGTTCTGGGTAAGGCAGCAGTGAGGAGCCTCAGTACCTTGCTCTCTCAGCCTCCCTCTCTCCCCAGTGTAGATCCACAGAAGCCAATTGAAAAAGTTGAGGAGTAGAATGCAGCCCTTTGATTTGACTTGGAGCATGTTCAACATGCCAGGACTGACCTAAGTGTATTCTATACCCTCTCACCCCAGCCCTGCCCTGGGGAGATGGGGAAGTGCCATATGGCCTTTGTTTATAGATGAGCACTCGGTCTCCCGGTTGGCCACTCATAAGTGCAGCTAGGAAATAGCAGAGCCAGGACTTACTCCTATGACAGCAAAATCTATGGCTGGGTGGCTACAGAGAACTCTCAAGTTTTGTAGCCAAAATTGATGGGTGGGATGTGGGGGTCAGTTTGTCCACTGCTGGGTATTGATAGGCCTGGTGTGTTGTGTTGGTGCTGTGAGGCTCATCTTCCCAGCCATGTCCTCAGTGGGTACAGTTCCGGTGGTGGCCTTGCATCAGGGCTTGGTCGTTTCAGTGTGTCGGATGTAGACAGCGTCTGGTGGATGTCTGCCCTGTGACCCTGACCTTCTCGATGAGGTCCTTTCCCCACACGGCCACTGTCTGTCAATGAGCGCACCCTGAGAGACCCACATGTCTGCCAACGGTGCTGCCGTCAGCTGGTGTCTGGGAAATGTCTCCGTGGGAATTGCTGGGGGCTTGTTCTTCTGATTTTCTTCTTCGATGGGCCCAAAGCTTTGGCCTTTGAGGATAAAGTGAAATTTTTTGAATTATGTCAAATATTGAATAAGGGCCATGTTTTTCGGGGAACATAAGTTCTATGAAGTAACGAGACCTACTTACTTTTTTGGGTGGCTTGGAACTCTATCAGAGGTTTTCAGAGAAGGGCATCAGAAATACATGTTCAGGTGACACTAGCATTGCCAAAATAGCTCAGTGGGCTCATTCGGTGACTACTTCTGGCCTTGGGTCCTCACACAGCTGCTTCTGTGAGGGAATCCCCAAACAGAACTTCTCCCAGACCCTTTGAGCTAACAGCGAAGAGAGAATCTGGACCTGGACCTCAGATTCCCTTTTTGGGATTCACCTGTCCTCAGGTGTCTTTCATTGCTGGCCCTGCCACTCCAATGCTGCCTTAGGTGATGCTTCCCTCTCCCACTCCACCGCCTCCTGAATTCACTGAGCCCCACAGGCCTGGCTAGAACACCTGAATGAGGCTGACAAAGGCCTAGGATAGCAGAAGGGGGACCAACCAGAATATCATCTGAGTTCAGCACAGCTCACTCATCTCCTGCTCCAGCCTAGCCCAAGGGAGTGACTTCAAAGCATTGATACTCTTCCCAGGCCAGATCAAAGACAGTCAGCCCTGGAGTGGCCCGGAGCTTCCCCTCTAGCCGCCCAGGGTCCAGCTCCCTAACTTTCACGCCTGTCCCCTGTGCAGATGGCTGCCACGGAGACACCTCTCCCGGCAGGAGGGACCCAGGTCCACAGCTTCCAGGGGATGCATGTGTCAGGGTACAGCACCATGAGCCTGCCCAGCCCCCCAAGTCTCCACCTTTATTCCCTCTCTGTTCCTCCCCTCCAGGCCTTTCTCACATGCAGCTGTGGTCTGTGAAGACCACCATTCTGTGGCCCTTGCCTTCCCTCGGGAGAGTTTTAAACGTGGTCAGTTGCTGCAGACAGACTCCTCTCCCTCCTGACACAGAAGGTTCTCTGAGTAGGCCTCCCAGTGGGCAGCGATGCTGGGTTGCACAGGAGGGCTGCATTCCAGGACCCTTCCTCCCAGCACATTCCTGGTGATCACTTAGCGTGGCCTCGGCCTGCTGCCTCCCCATCCTCCAGGTCAGATGGCCTGTGTCCTCCTGGCCATCCAGCCATCTGCCCTGCCCTCCCCTCCTCAGAAGGCTGCATTCCAGCCTCCATCAGCACCTCCCCTCAAGCCCCCCTCAGGGTTCCCACTGGGCTCTGAGGGGCCTGAGGAAGATCAGAAAGCTCTGGCCCGCAGTCCTGGGAGGCTGGAGGTTCTCCCCAGCTCCAGCAAAGGAGCTGTACTTCTCCCTGTGGGCTGTGCTGTCCCTGGGGAGCACCTCCCAATCCCCTCCTTGGCACATTCTTCAGTCACTGCTTCCTTGTTTCCCTCCTGCCACCTCCCCAGAGCTGCGCTGCACAAATTCTTTTTGGTCTGTGGAGAATGCCAATGCTGGCCTGCCCAGGTCAGGGCTTCCTGTAACTGTCTACAGCCAAATCCCCCTGCAGCCCTACTCTAGGGACCTTCTTTGTGGCTAACTTCCTGCAGCCACCATTTGTAACACCTCCCCCTTCCCTCCTCCCCAGCTGAGGGCTCTTTAGCAGCCATTTAAAGCAACAGCTGTTGCCTCTTTGACTCAGAGTTCCCAGGCTCCCTTGCAAGGCCAAGCTACTCCCTGGAACTTGGCCCCCAGAGGCCAAGGGAACCAGACCTGCTGCCTTCAACCCTCCTCTTGGACAGTTTCCCTTTCTGAATCTCAACTGAGCTTCTCTCTGGCCAGGCCTCCTTCCTTTCTCCTAAATTCTGACCCATCCATCTGTCTTGGGGGATGTTGGAGGGGCCCACCCTCTCTCTGCAAGGTGACCCTGTGTCACAGGCTCCAAGCTATGGCCTCAGATGCCAATGCCCAGAATGTCCACACCCCATGAGAACAGTCATTCCTCCTGACTTCAGAAGCCACAACAGGGTGGAGGGGTCTGGGGATCCTCCTGACAGAACCCTTCTGTCCCTAAAGCCTGCCTGCACCTTCCATTGTCCACTTCTCCAAGAACAGGGACAAAGGCCTTCCCACCACTGCTGCCTATTCCTTGGAGTCGGAGCCCTCACCTCTGAATCAGCTCCAGATTTCAGCCAGAACCACCAGTTGTCCCAACACCGGTTGCTCCATAAATGAGACTCCCCTGGAGCCCTGAGCAGGGACTTCAACCAGACTGTGTTTGTTTCTGTGGCTCTTTGCTGACCCCACTCAGCTCTGGTTCCCACTATAAGTCCCTCCGCCTGTGCCTGAGTCTGTGTTTATACTCTCCAGGAGTTGTCCAATGTCACCATTTTCTTCCTTAAAAAGAGATGGCTTCACCAGGCTGGTGTGGCTCAGTGATTGAGCGTTGATCCGTGAACCAGGAGGTTGCAGTTCTACTCCTGGTCAGGGCACAAGCCTCAGGCTCGATCCCCAGTGGGGGGTTTGCAGAAGGCAGCTGATCAGTGATTCTCCCACTGATGTTTCTTTTCTATCTGTGTTTCTCTCTCTGAAATCAATTTAAAAAAAAGGGTTTTTTTTTGGGTTTTTTTTGTTTTTTTTAAGAGAGAGACGGCTTCTACTACAATAGACCCCATTGGCTCCACCTTAGGAGAGAGAAGTCTGGATCAAGGCTCCCCCAGAGCCTCTTCATTAGGAGTCCCGCTATTCCCAGAAAGTCTGGAAGCAGGACCGAAGGTCAGGACCACAGGGTTCTGCCAGACCCGGCCCCTAGCACGGGCCTTGCAGAAAAGGGAGCAGATGAGCTCGGGAAGATGAGAGGCACTGTCTCTCTGCATGCCTAAAGCTAGTGGTGGGTCTGCGGCTGCAGCAGGGGCTCCAAGGCTCCAAACAGGGAACCCAGCCCTACACCGTAACCTGCCTCTGAATAACAGCTCTCCAGGGCCATTGAAATGGTATATTCACCTGCCCATAGCAGGTGCTCTATGAAAGGAAGATATAATCACCTTCTTGGTACTTCTTACACCTTTTCAATTGCCATTGAAATGTGATTTATTTTAGATGCCCGGAACGAAAAGCCTGGGAGAAGCTGTGGTTATGTATAGTAGGCCCTTGCTATTAGAAGATTTACCCTTTGCATTGTCTATTATTTAAGGGTGACCCCCAGGGTCAATACTACAAATTATGTGCAATAGTGTTTTTGAAAAGAAACCATGCTGTCTCCGTGGTGAGGCTTGAATGAGGTGCTATATTTAAAGCCCCCTGATGACTCTAAGCTGAATTCAGGAGTCAGACAGCCTAACACGGGTTTCCATCAGGGCCTGGGGGAATGGGTGGGGTCCCAAGACATAACCCTCAGGGCTGTGTAGCTTTGCTCTCAGAGTTCAAGTGCACTGTGCACCCCACTGAACTTCCTACAGTGGTGAGGAAAGAGGCCTGGGCTGGCAGCCAACAGGCCTGATTCTAGTCCCAGCTCTGCCATTAACCTCTGGATGACCTCGGTGACTGTCCTCCTCCCTGGGCCTCAGTTTGCCCGCCTGCAGCGTGAAGAATGAGCCTAGGCCCCTGGTTCTTAAAGTGGTCCATGGACTCACTAGCTTCAGCAGCAGTGGCTGCATTGATCAGCTTGTTAGAAATGCAAATTCGCTGTCCTCTCCATCCCAGACCTACTGAATAAGATTTCTGGGGGTGGGGCCCAGCACCGTTTCATAGAGCCCTGGTAATGGTTCTGATACAATATCAAGTTTGAGACCCTCTGGCTCAGATGCTCTCTAAGGCTTCTTACTGCTCAAACATCCAATCATCTGGAGGAAACAAGGGTTACAGCATGCTGGGGGGAGGATGTCACAGCTTGGTACTACGCAGCCTGGGGGCAGCCGGTGGTTGTGGGAGGGACAGGGGATGTGGAAGAGAGGAGGGTCTGCTGTGAGGAGGACACCAGCCAGTTCACTTCCTCCTCTCTGCCCATCCCACTCCCCACCCCCACATCCATTTCCCAGGTGCCCTCCAGACTTCCTGCCAGCACAGGTGGAAGGGGCAGGTCTGCCCTCCCCCGGTCCCCTTCCCTGGTCCCTGCCAGTGTACACAAGAATGTCCTGCCCAATCCCTGAGGAACCAATCGGAAAATGAGAGCCAGTGAGACCTCTAGTGGCCAGGGGGCCCCAGGAGACCAGGCCCTCTGCTCCTGCTGTCATGGAGTTGTGTTAAAGGTGGTTTATTTAAATCTGGCCATTTTAGGGCAGACACCTGAGCTCCACATCTGCTCCAACTTCAAAACTGGGCCAAAAATTACAGGCAGATGTTCCACCCAAGACAGGCCTGCAGTGTGGAGGTGGGAGACTGGGCACAGGGCTGCTTGGCCTTCGGGTCTGGCCAGGGAAGGCTTCAGAATGGTCCTGAGGGAGTCCTTGCAGCCCCGCTGACTCCACCACAGCCAGGCTGAACCACTCCTTGAGCTGGTTCATGTAGGTTCAGTCTTGAGGAAAAAAACCTAGGATGTCAGCTGTCCTCTCAAGACCACCAGGAGGTGTGTTGAATGTAGGACAACACAAACCCACATTCTCTTCCTCAGCCCGGGGCCAGTAGACATTCACATCTGGGCCGAGGTTCAGCCCTGCGCAGAGAGGTCAGGTAACGTGCCTAAGGTCCCCCAGCATGTCAGTGGTAGGTCTGCAGCTGGAGCAGGGGCTCCCAAGCCCCAGTGTGAGCCCCACCCCACACCATTCTGTACCTCCGAATAATCCCACTTAAACCCTCAGGAGCTTTGCTGTGGATTAGGCTGCATTCTTGTTGCACCTGGCTCTTTTGTAAACCCTGGAATTGTCTGCAGACAAAGAGCAGAGCCCAGGCTTGGGATAAGAAAACACCACGCGGGAGACTTGAACGAGGTGTGCCTGCTTCTATAGCCTCCCAGGTCAGCCCTGAGGACAGATGGAGCTCTGCCGCTGGCTGGGATGGGCCCCAGGGCTCTGGGCCAAAGCACATGACACACTGGAGGGAAGTGGGCATGAGATTAAGGTGCAACCCAGTTTCAGAGGTCACTGCCCCACGGGAGGACTGAGGACAGACTGCTGACTTGTGGGGATGTGTGTCGCCAGCAGGCCTCTTCTCCTGTCTGTAAAGCGGCCCTGATAGACTGGGAGCTTCATCGCTCAGAGCTCAGCAGCAGGAGGGGCTCTGAGTGGGGGAGGTGGTTCAGGACCCTGCTCTTTCTCCAGCCCTCTGAGCCAGGTGACAGCCACCCCTGTTTGGAGTGGGGCAGTAGTGCCATTCCTAGGGTTTGAGACCAGGGCAATATAAGCAGGTTCTGGAGGAGGGGGTCTGGGGGGTGTGGGTTAGGAGTGGCTCCCGGCATTCTCTGCGGCAGGGACTAACTCCCGCTCTGCATTGCAGGCAGGACAAGCTCAAGATCCACATGCGGAAGCACACAGGGGAGCGGCCCTACCTGTGCATCCACTGCAACGCCAAGTTCGTGCACAACTACGACCTCAAGAATCACATGCGCATCCACACGGGCGTGCGGCCCTACCAGTGCGAGTTCTGCTACAAGAGCTTCACGCGCTCTGACCACCTGCACCGCCACATCAAGCGCCAGAGCTGCCGCATGGCCCGGCCTCGGCGGGGCCGCAAGCCCGCCGCCTGGAGGGCCGCCAGCCTGCTGTTCGGGCCCGGAGGCCCGGCCCCGGAGAAGGCGGCCTTCGTGATGCCCCCGGCGCTGGGCGAGGTGGGTGCCCACCTGGGCGGGGCCGCCATGTGCCTGCCGGGCCCCAGCCCCACCAAGCACTTCCTGGCGGCGCCCAAGGGCGCGCTGAGCCTGCAGGAGCTCGAGCGGCAGTTCGAGGAGACGCAGATGAAGCTGTTCGGGCGCGCCCAGCTGGAGGCCGAGAGGAACGCGGGCGGCCTGCTGGCCTTCGCGCTGGCCGAGAACGTGGCCGCCTCCAGGCCCTACTTCCCGCTGCCCGACCCCTGGGCCGCGGGCCTGGCCGGCCTCCCTGCGCTCGCTGGCCTCAACCACGTGGCCTCCATGTCTGAAGCCAACAACTAGGCTGGTCCTGTTGGCCCCGGTGCAGCTGCCCTGTCCTCTCTCCCAGCGGGCCCGCCTGCCCCATCCAACGGATCGGAACTTACTCCAAAATCACAAAGAAAAAAATAGATATATACATCTATGTCAGCAGCAATGCTATTTTCCAGGCCTCCTGAGGCAGCTGCCTTCCTTTTGCTTGTGTCTGAGATGGGCATCTCCCCTCAGCAGGGCCAGCCTCTCCCTGACTGTCTGGCTCTCACACAGGACTCACAGGGTCCCCACTTCGGAGGAGGCCCCATGCTGGGTGCTCCCAGCTGTGCCTGCAATGAGGAGGCTGGGCCAGAGGCAGGCCGGATGCAGCAGAGATGAGGGGAGGGGCCTGGGCACACACCTCTGGTTGAGCCCCACAGCCTAAAGCAGAGTCCCTGCTGACACTAACCCGATGGGTCATTTTTCCATCTCCAGAGGCCCTGGGATCCTTATGGCAAATGTCCCATTGGTAGGGAGGCCTCCTGGAGTCAGGAGCGAGGCTCCTGGAGTCCAGGCCCATTTTTCCTCACCGTCCGTGACCTTGAACGGGTCAGCTTCCTGTACCCCAGTTTCACACTACTAGCAAAGGGGGCTGGTGATTTGGTTTTTCCTCTCCCACCACCACCCACTTGTACATGCCTGTACCTCCAAAACCATTCTTGTGAGGGTAGCAGCGGATGAAAATGGCTGGAATGTGGGATTTAGTTGTATCATGCCCACTTCTGTATTAGCACAGGTGAGACATGTGGCCACACTAGATACCGGTGACAGAGAGAGAGAGCGGGGTGGGGATTGTCCACAGCTCACAGGCAGCTTTGGGGAAGTCCACACATTCCCCTGTTCTCTGGGCAGACTGCTCTGCATGTCTGCGATGACTTTTGCATTTACCTCTCCTCCATGCACTCCGTAGGGCAAGCGTGTCAAACTCGCAGCCCAAGGGCCACATGCCTCATTTATTTGGCCTGTGTTAGCCTTTGTGTTTGATATGCTTGCTATAGGGAGTCTCTTGGGACTCCTGAGGTCAACAATGAAGGGATGGGGACCCTGTCTTAACACCAGTCAACCGCCTGCCTCTTACTTTGACCCCTGGAAATAGACCAAACTCCTGGTTCCCCTCGTTTATCTGCTTTTCAGGTTGTGGGTTTCTCTTGGCTGCTTTTGAACACCCTCTACCCTTCCCTCCTGGGATGGAGCTGGGGTATGTGGCTCCCCTCAGGGCAGGAAGGCTGAGCCTTGGCTCTGACATGGGTCTGAGGGGCTCTGTGAGCTAGGCTGTCCACACACGCTCCCTGGTTCTCGAGTTTTTGTAGCAGGTCCTGAGAAGGAAGACAGCTCTGCTGGCCCAGTGCCTTCCTGATCTCTCCCCTCTCCTGCCTTCCATCCCTTTCCTTGCTGAGTCTGCTTTTGTCTCCCAGTAGCCAGGAAAGGAGGAGCATTCACCGGCACGGATTGCCCAGGCTGTTGCTCCCAAGCCCAGAGCCGTGCCCCTCCCCACCCCCACCCTGAGACGTGACTCTTCTCGCCTTGGCTTCTTCCTGCAAACACAACAAACAAAAAGGCCAGAGAAGACCACGGACTCTGTCACGCCCCCAGCGCCCCAGAAGACACCCCTGACGCCTCACACTCTCAGATGCCATTCCGCCCAGAGGGGATTGCTCCAGACACCCTCTTATCTTCACACATCACTGCCTGGACAGCGCCTCTGAGACTCCTGTCTCCATTCCAGACACTTGCCGACATGCCCTTGTCCCCCCAAGCCAGGGGGTTGGGGCTGACCCAAACTTTAAAAGAAAACAAGGGGAAATGAACCAATTGGAATCCAGTGGTATCGGGCTTGTGTTTTTATTTTGTAAAGGTAATGCCTTCTTATAAACTCCATTTTTTTCAGATGACTGGTTAGTTCTTTTTGTTTTCTCTTGGCTGCAGTTTGGAGCTGTACATTGTAAAATATCCAAAGATGCTGAGTACTGTACATTCAAGGAGGACTTGAAGCAAATGGGTTGTGGGGCAGGGGGTCATTTTGTTTTGTTTCCCTTTTATTTTTATTTTTTTGGGATGTTCCGATTTCCCTGTCTATCTATGGGAGAACTTTTGGATTTTTTTCTATTTATAACTTTTTTTTGTTTATGTGATTGCTTTATGTAAAATGACACTCAACAAAGTTTGCCTTAGTGATTCAAGGGACAATCCTCAGTAACTTTGGTCGCACGCCGCATCCTGCCGAGAAAATTCTCAGCTACTTTTCTGGCCTATTTATTAAACAGTATTCATTGACTTGATTAATTTCTATTGAAAGGTGACAGCAACCAGCCAATCTGTAGACATTCGTGGGTTAAGGTTTTGACGACTGGCTGTCATAAGCTTGCAATAATGTCAAAGACGCCTTTACAGAACAGCAGAACTTTTGGCCCTTACTTAACTGTTTGAAGGACAGTGTTTTGAGGGAAAGAGAGCTACACCTGCTCAAGGCCCTGGGTAATGTGGACGCCCCCTGCCAGTTCTCATGCTGATTGTCAGCGGGTGGTTGACTGATGGGGAGCCCAGCACTCAGTTCTTTAAAATATATTTTATTGATTTTTTACAGAGAGGAAGAGAGAGGGATAGAGAGTTAGAAACATCGATGAGAGAGAATCATCGATCAGCTGCCTCTTGCACACCCCCTACAGGGGATGTGCCCACAACTAAGGTACATGCCCTTGACCGGAATCGAACCTGGGACCTTTCAGGCTGCAGGCCGATGCTCTATCCATTGAGCCAAACCGGTTTCGGCAGCACTCAGTTCTTTAATGGTCTCCTGCATTTCAGCTGTGCGAGCCACTGTTTGAACATAAGCTTTTGCACATCTGGGAACCTGAGTGTGAGGTGCGTGCGCACGTGCGCATGTGTGTGTGTGTGTGTGTGTGTGTATGTGTGTGTGTGTGCACACACACTAATGTTCAGATACAGCCTGTGGTGTGTGAGCAAGGGAACATCCAAGTGTTGCTGACCATTTTTACACAACCAGCCCTGCTGGCTCCTTGGTGTGGTGTCTGGGGGGTCTGCGGGTGGCCCTGCTACCTGGGCTTCCTTTTTCTCGTTCCCCAGCACTGGAGTTGGACTTCTCACCTGAGCCTTTTCCCCAAACAGGGACTGCTGGATTCAGGAAGAGGTAAGGAAATGCACTCTGTCTTCGAATGGGATCAGCTCTACTCAGAACCCAAAGCACAGATTCTGAATGAAACTGTTCTTTGAACTGCATTTTCCAGATAACCAAAGCCAGCCCAGAGCCCATTTTTGGTTCCACTCCCGTTTCTTGCCATGTAAACTCTCCTGTAAATCTAGTGCCGTGGTCGGCACACTGAGGTTCTGTTGACTAATGAGTTTGCTCACCACGTGCAATGTTTCTTGGTACAAAGGGAAGGACGAGCCTGGGTTTCAAATTCAGACTCCTCTGAGCTGTGCGTCCTCAGGTTAACTACTTCTCTACTCTGGTCTTCACTCCCTCTCCTCTAATAAAGAGGAGGTTGAGTACATCAGTGTTTCTCCAAGTTCTCTACCCAAACACCCCTCAGCAGAGGGAACCAGCCCATTGGGGGCACGGGGGTGGGAGGGAGGAAGGCCTGGGGACTGAAAGAGCCCTAAGTAACCTTTGCGTGGTGAAGAGTCCTCTGAAGTCTCAGGTTTTGGCTCTGACCCAGGACTTGCCCTTCCAGAGGAGCAGGCAGGGCCACATCCCAACGAACATTTTCTCCCACCCATTCCTGCTCTCCTGGGACCCTGCCAGCCCTTCCTCCCAGAGGTCCTGTGAGCACCACTGGCTGTCCCCCGAGGGCACCCTCCCTTCTGAAAGCTGGGGGAGGTGGGCTTCTAAGAGAAAGAGAGAGGTGGGGCAGGGAGGCCTTGTCCACCACAGGCGCCTCTGCTGCAGAGTCCGTCCTTTCCAGGAGCAGCCAGGGAGGAGGCCCTGCAGGAGGGAAAAGCTACCTGCACACAGAGGCCCTCCGGGGACCTGGGTCCGATTCTGAAGTCAAGCATGTTACTATCCAGCGGCCCCACCTCCCAACCCCCCAGTGAACCCTCTCCTCCATGTGCCTCTTCCTGCCGCAGCTGCCCTTCCGGATGTAGGTGCCCTCCCCACTCTGCCCTCCCCTCTGTCCCTGACAAGAGCCACCCAGGGTGACTCACGGGCTCCCCCTCCTGACCTCAGCAGCCCCTGTGCCTCCTTCAGGCTGGAAAGAAACACCCTGAGCCAAGCAATGTCAGACCTCAAGCAGCACGTAGGGTGGCTGTTTGGACAGCTGGCCTTGAAATCAGACCAGTGGGCAGTCACCAGCCAGCTGGGGCCTCCTGCTCCCTCACCTCTCCCCACCCTGCACCCCGGATGCAGGAGGCCTATAGCCTCCTTCCCTCCTTTCAGGGTTGCAGTGCCGAGGACTGAGCCAAATATGCATTCCCAGGGATTGATGGGAAGAGGATTCCCTGGGGAGGCCCCACGCATTTTTCCTCCTTGCTACATCCTGGGCAGAAGTGTTCACTAAGCCTGTTTCTCTGTTTGTGTGACCTTGGTTGGTAGCACCCACGTGGCCTAAGCCAAAAAATATGGGTCCAGAAACGGCCTCAGAAATAAGGACAAGACATCGCAAATCCGGACAACCCTGGAAAGCCTGAAAACTGGTCACTTTACCTGCAATCAGACAGGCGCACACACATGCACACACGTGCACACACACAATCATCAGACAAATGATACCCAGGCTGATGTCATCCTCCTCGTAACCATAGGAGACGTGGCAGTGCATGGACAAGACCCAGCAAAGGCGTTTTCCCCACGGGTCTCCCCGCTGGAATATTTTTAACGCACACTCTCACTTTCACCCCTGTGGTTCCTCTATTTAACCACAAACTCTGGCCCTGACAACAGAAGCAAGTGAATAAACAAATCATTTTCTGGAATTAAGGAAGGAAGAGGGAGTGAATCAGACCCCTTTCGGGTGTTCCTCTGAAAACTAACAAGCACAAACCCTCCGAGTAGCCTAAGTGCCTTCTCGGAGGATTTGGACTTAGCCGTAGGTAGCGCACACCATAGATGCATGGCCCTGTTTGCATCAGTCAGAGTTTCATCAAACGCCAGAACACTCTAAGCAGCTAGAGTAGCAAAGGCATTTATTAAAGGGAACTAAGTCTCTCACAGAATTCCCACCAGGGCCAAAGAGCCAGGCCTGCAGGGCCACCAGATCAGCTGTGCAGGTTGCATACAGTGCCACCGGTGAGGAGTGCCCTTCACACCCTACACTGATTTGTACGTTTTTTTTACAATATTCATTAGATTTATATGTCATAGCAACTTGCCAGCAGATGGCAGTAATGTGTCTAGAAGGGGTTCCCTGGTCTAATTTTGCACAAAGTCCATGGCCTGGAAGCCAGGAAGCAGGGAG